TGACGATTGCCGCAACGCAATGATGAAAACACCAATGGATGAACCTGCAGCAAATGAAAAATATATAGAATTTCGTGAATATCCAAATACAGATGAAGATGCTCCAACAGTAACAAAATTAGTACGACCAACAACTCTATACACAAATATTACTAAAACGCAATTAATGGCGTTTAATTATACATGGCAAAGCCATTGGCCATCCACACAGATGCTTAAAAAATAGTGACGGAATGTGTACATGCAACAAATCAAATTCATCCAGATTGGTTAGATAAAAATAACGAATGTTATAATCATCGGATGCAAGCATTAAAATACATGATTACTGTAAAATATATTCCCGTACGAGATATAACAATCGTACTGCCAAAGTAGCTAGTGCATCATACAAAAAAGTTAAGAGGTTTATAAATAAATAGAAGTATATATAAGAAAGTAAAAATAAAGGATACTAAATGTAAGATCATCTTGAGCACTATTATATTAATTACAAATAAGAAAAAAATGATATGAAGAAAGAAAAACCACAAAGGTCTAAAATAATATCTCATTATTAATAATCCATTAATATTTAAGAATTTTATATAAAATTTATTTAATAAATTTTATAAATATTTTATACATTTATTTATTAAATATTTTATATTTATATTTATTTTATATTATTTTATTATTAATTAATAGTAATTATATTAATATATACATCTTATATTATTTTATATATATATAATAATATATTAATATTTATTAATTTTAATATTTAAAAAAATTAAGGTAAGGAATAGAAAAAATAAAATAACGTGGAACGTAGTAAAAATTATCTAGAAAAAGAATTATTTTTTAATATGAGTATTTTCTATAAAATAATATAATTTCTTTATTTTGTAATTTTGAAAAAAATTCTTTATTTTTATTGTTATATGTATCTTGCATAATTTTGTCATTGAAAAAAAATATTTATACTGTGTATCATGAAATTACATTCATTAAAATATGTTTGCAAATCATGTTACATTTAGTAATGAGTATTATTTTCCTGTAATGAGAAAAATAAGCATGAATTTTTCAATTTCTTAGAAAATTGCAATCACAGTTGAAACAAATTACATACATCGTTAACTAGCAGGTTTAATCACGGACTAAATAAAATATTTTTATGCAATCATGCTAAGAAATTGTAAAATCATGTATTTTCTGATTACTAATGACATATAACACGAGATATATATAATAATAAAATTTTAAAAAGTACAGTAACACGGTACAATAAATGAAATCTATCGTATATGTATTTGTTGGCATACGGTATTCTAATATAATCATAGAAAATACATATGAATACCGTTAATAATATAGTATACAGTAAGTGATTTTGACAAATCACTTACAATAATAAGACGCCTTAACAGAAATAGATAACAAAAGACATCAAAATATATAACTGATTCTTTTAGTTATAGAAAACCTATATTATATGTAGATTTCCCGTGATAAGACCTGTTAGTTTGAGCGATTTATGTAATTATTTTAACTGTGATTGCAATCTTTACGTCATGCATATCTAAATGCCAACTAAAATACATATACACATATGTACCTAAATCTTTAATTACAATATTATTAATTTTTTTAAACATGCGTTCCACGTTAACATAATAAATATGATTAAATACAAATTATTTAACAATATCTTTTTTCACAAAATATATGTTTTATAATAATGAATACTTTTAATTACAGCTTTTTTTTAGAGCGGAGGGTTTTTTAGTGGGTGAGAGTCCCACATACCCCGTCGGATGGCCGATGGGAAATGCATAATGCATTTTTCCCTTCCTACAAAAAAAAAACTGATATATACAGGATTCCGAAATTCGCGAGTCAAAATAGTATAGCAAAAAAGTTCTTTAAAATAAATTAAAAAGTTAAAGCTATTTCTTATTTAAACAATAAAATTTTTGAGGTAAAAAATTTTAAATTGGCCAATTATAGATTACGATTTAATGGACACTTGAAGTGCGTAAAGTGCATGGTCACTACCCAAACAGCACACATATCCCAAAAACGTTCAGAGAACATCCTGAGGATGTTCGAATGTCCTCTGGATATCCTCTGAATATCTTTCGGATATGTTGTGCTATTAGGATATAACATAATCGACTCACGGATAGGCGTCCGTTTAATCGTATTCTGTAATTGGCCAATTTTAAATCTTTTTACCTCGAAAAATACTGTTTGGAATGAAAAATGGTAAAAATTTTTTAATTTACTTTTTCGAGAAACTTTTTTTCTATGGTACTTTAATTCGCAAAATTTGGGACACCTTATATATATATATATATACATTTTTGTACACGTGGTATATGTATTAAATGAAAAATATTAATATACATATATATTATATTATATAACAATTTTTGTATCATTTAAAGTATAATTTAAAGTATAATTTAAAGTATAAAGTATATTTAATTATTCATTTAATTTCATTTAAATATAATATTATTAGAATTTTTTTTTATGATAAATTATTTTCATAAGTTTTATTTTTTTTATTATTTTTATTTTATAATATTATGTTAATTTTTTGTTATTTTTATACAAATATATTTATTTTATTTTCAATATTTATTTTCTTATTTTTTATATTTTTTGTGCAATCAATTTAATTTTCAGGGATATTATTTTTGTAAATGAATATAAAATTATTGAAAATATTTTATAAATACAATTGATTTATGGTCTTGAACTCTGATCTTCGTCGTATTCTGGTCTATAAATTGTGGATGTAGCACGGACATGAACCAAATTTGGCTCTTTTACCGACATCGAAAGTGGATGTGGCCATGTAGTTCCAGGCGCTCGTAAAATGGATGTACGTGACGCTAGTGAGCAGCCTAGAAAAAGCGTTTGACGAAAAACGGCGGCGTAGCCTCTCTCATTCTTCTCTCTGGTACGACTATGTCTAGGGTGAATCAAACTCAACAATTGGCTCACCTGTTCTAACCTACTTACTGTTTAAAAATATACGACAAAATTTATGTTTTCGATTGGGGCTGTATGGCGGAGTGGATAAGTGCGGGACTAGTAACCATGAGAATCCAGGTTCAAAACCCCATGCTGTTAAAATTTTTTTCTAATTTTTTTTATTATTTTATATGAGAGATACATGTAATATTATCATCGCAAATATTCTAAATCATATTTTTTATACTTTTTATTTAATTTCAAAATCTTAATGAAATGAAAATATTTATGTAAATGAAATATATTCACGTGTTCATTATATAAAACAAAACAAATTACATTAGAAGATAAATTGTACCATATGAAATAAAAGATTTATTATGCAGTATGTTCACATTATATATATATAAGAGAAAATTATCAAAATTAAATTAAAGAAAAGAAGGAATCAAAAAGCAGAATTTTCTTCAGATAAGTTTTATAAAACAATCCTATTCCAACTTTGAATATTAATTTGAATAAGGATACTTTGTGTTGAATTTCTTTATTATTTTCAGTTAAGTTAACACATCATATACACCCATTTAATTTAAATTGATGCATACAATACTGATAGGCAGTAATTTAAGTACTCAAAATAAATGATTAATTAGACTTACTAGTGATAAATTTCATAAGGGGTGTATCACAAGTCACGTTACACCTTTGAAGAATGAATTGATGAAGTTAAAATAAGTCAAATATAAAGAATAACAAAATTACGTTTGAGCCTTCTTTAAATTTTAAGGGTTTCTAATTAAATAATCGAAAAATTTCTACAGATTATTTTTACTTGAATTAGAAATTTGTTATTGTTGATATTACAATAAAAATATTATAACTAACAAATATATAGTAAGAATAGTATTACAAAAAGTATTCAAGTAATTTGTCATTTTTTGTGACAGAAGTTATGGTCTGCGAAAAATGCTTCAAAGTGTTTAATTGATCAATCAAAATAAAATGAATAAAAATTTCTTTATCCTGATACATGTTTTAAAGCATTTGCAATGTTTCCCTGATCGCAATCAGTTTCGAGATACATGTTTAAAAGCGCATTATTTTCATTATGATTTTTTTTATAAAAAAGTTCAAATATAATTTCATGATTCTTTAATTTCGACTTATTTTGATTTCATCATTTCACTCTCCAAAGATAGGATGCGACTTCTGTGTGTGATATATCCTGTATATACACATTTCGTTACTGATCATCATTTTTAAGGACGTTTCGTAGTCAAGGGCTACAATACAAAAACAGCGCAAAGTATTTTTGTACATTACATTTTTATTTTTATTTTTTAATTTAAATTAAAAATTTTTATTTAACTTTAAATTTTTTAATTTTCTAAATTTAATTTTTTGTGCTTTATATTACCTTTTTGAATATACGTTTAAGGGGTTATAACACCTTTGCGTAAGAAATTTTTCCTCTTTTTCATTAATTTTTTTCACATCTAAGGAATAGAGTAATCAAAAAACGGGTTTGAGGGTTGATTTTATTATAGTTTCTAGTTATAAAAATTATTTTTTAAATTAAAAAAATCTTTGAAGAATATCCTGTAGATGGCGCCAAAGATGACCCTTTGCGCTATTCCGGTCCAATCGGTGGCCAGGATTCCGGCTTACTGGTATGACATAGAACAAAAATGAAAAGTTTTTCATATTCTCTGATAAATTTTCCATCGAGGTACGTAGGATTTTTGAAAAATATTAATTTTGTGGAATTTACACTAATTTGAAAAAAAAGTATAAAAATTTTCACTGAAAATCGTTTATAAAATTGGTTCCCAAAAAAAAAACTAACAATTCTATTAAAAACGGCTACGTACCTCGATAAACAATTTAATTTAGCGCAGAATAAGCTTTGTTTCAAGTTAATCCGATGTAAATTGTGGGAGCTAAGCTGGCCACCGATTTGAAAAATGGTGTTTTACAGAAATCGCATTTAAAGTTTTGCAACGAGAAAACTTGTAATTATTAGGAGCTCACCGTTAATCTGCAATGCCTGCACCATACAGTTGACCTTCTACATTAATGTCCTCGTCATCTGTGGCCTTCCGAGCTGATTTCTGCTGCCTACGAGCTTCTTTAGCTTCCTCGGTCATAGTGCGCTCAGCTGCGCGGATCCGGCGTTCGTCTGCTTGAACGCAGAAATTGTAACAAGCACTTCCAATTATTAGATTTAACACTTGCATAATTTGCATTATGCTGTGCAAACCATCATTAAAGTTGCAAACAGCAATATTTGCGGCAATATCGACGATTGCTTTGTTACTGTGAACAGTTTTTGGTGCTATTGCCCACAGCACAGAATTAAAACTCTCGTTGCTGTTTTGAGTAAACCCGCCAACACAGCGGGATAGCAACTCGTCTCGACTTAATTCTTCGTAAATAGGTTGAATAGCTTTAAAAACTTCATTGTTTAAAGCTGGTTTGTGTTGGTATTCATCTAATTCGTTCTCAGCTTTCGCCTGCTGCCAAGAACACCACGAGTTCTCTCCGATTGGGCAACGGTCGTGCTGCGGTTCGCTGTCCGTTGAAATCTTATGGAATAAAGTCGCCCATATTTCTCGTCTCATATCTTCAATGGAATTAGAATTTCTACGAATAGCCAGACCATAGTATATTGTCAACTCGTCGATCAGTTTGCCTGTCAATTTTCCTCTGCCTCCAAGACCTCTTACATTTTTTTTCAAATTACGTAATCTCGTGCCCATACGTTTTTGAACATGATCTATACATTCTTTTTTACAAACATTCAAATCATCATAAGGTTTCGAATCTAAAATGCCTTTGAATGTTTTGCTGTCTCCATCACCGATGTAATGAGAATATTTTAAATTGTGCAATTCTTCGGACCGCTGAAACATTTCTACGACTGCGTCTACTTCCATCTTTCCCGACGAACCTTCGTGATTTCTTTCGCAGTTTGCTTCGTGATTTGCAGCCCATTCTTCATATTCGCTTGTTTCTTGCTTTCCGTTCCACAAACTGCAGGCCTTACAGAATTTAGATTTCACTGCAATGTCGACGACTTTTCCCGTGCACCACCCTATTAGTGATACGACACCGAACAAAGACGAGAATCCCCTCTTTCTCCAGGTCCTGTCACCAGAAACTGTTATCCCATCTATCTGTCTTCTTTCCAATGACATCTCCTTTTCTTTTGCAGCTGCTCGTTTCATTGAAATTTCACATACAGTATTAGTGGCAACACGAATGTTTGAAATTATTTTGTCATAAAAAGACTGATACACTGGTACCGGCAAACACATAAATGCACAAAATTTTTAATTCCATTGATTCCTATACCAAGTAATCTCATTGTAAATACCATTCGGCGATTTATTTCGTAAGCGTGATTGTTTATAAGAGGGCTAGAGTCAATATATTTTGGCACGCATTTTCACAAATAATACCGATTTTGAAACCAAGACCGCGACGTCTGGATTCTTCAAATTTGATGTTCGAGCCACACGTTTTGCAAACAATTAATTGCGAAATGGTTGTAAAAACGGAAACAAAATTAATGAAACGATACCCAAAGTATTGTCCACGTGTATCTCGTAATCGTCCGCACTCGTTTTAAGTTTTTTCGCCGACGTGCTCACACTTTCACTTTCGCCTTCTAAAGAATACCTATTTAAAGGCTTCCTTCTACTTATTGAACTTTTACGTGCACGTGAAGTACTTGCTCTACTCCCTTTCTGATCTATATGTAGTCTTTGTTTCTCCATTATTACAACAATTTGAAAAGCCGAAGTCGGTGGTGTAACGGAAACTGTTCGCAGTAAACACACGATTCTGGCATAAAATAAAGTATTATATGATAGGAATATACTGTTTTCTGTTGAAATGGTCACAAGAGACATCTACAATATTATACTAAATTCTCAACTACTCGATAGTTGAAGTAGAAAGGCAGAACTCAGAGAGCGCTCCCAGGTTCTCTCCGCGCGCTATGGCGCCGCGTACAAACATGGCTATTTCGTACATGAAAAAGTTCCAGACCGACTCTAGATGAATAAAATTATATTCTATACATTCCAAAGTATCATTTAAGCAAAAAAAAAAAATTTTGAATTTTTTTGACCCTCAAAGGTGTTATAACCCCTTAAATATATTTGAATTAAATAATTATTTAGAGATAAATAATTTATTTTATTATATATACGTATTTATCTAAATATTTTATAAAAATATTTAATAACTTTACAATGTATATACATTCCAGTTTAAATTAATTACATAATTATTCATGTTATTTAAATTTAAAGAGAAATAAATAAATATATATATTTTAGTGAATTTATTTTTATTATATATATTATAAACATTTTAAAATAAAGCAATAATTATACATTTGTATCATTATAGGAAATTTATCTAAATATTATATATATATATGTTGTCACTTACTTAGTGCAACTTTTTGATTTGACTACTTTTTGATGCTAATATTTAATTTTTTTCTAGTATTATTAACAAAAATAAAATATAATTTATAAATATAATTTTTGAGAAAATATTTTTAATGGTGATTAGTTTTTGCAAAGAATTATTTTTCCTATAAACATAATTTTTAAGAAGATAATATTTTTTATTATTATAAAGAACTATTTTTGCTGGCGAAAATATAACTTAGCGCTTATATATATATATATATATATATATATATATATATATATGTATTATGTATGTAAGTATGTATTGTGACGCGTGACATCTTTTTGTGTCCGTCACAAGGGCCGAAGGCCCGGCCGGAATTCGGGAACCTTTGCTCTCTCGCCAACCCTTGAGAGAGAGAGAGCACCCGAGAAATAATTTTTGCGTTTTCTTCTGCGTAGGAGGATCGCCCCACGCATCCGTCCCGCATATTACTTTTATTTATATTTTTTTTGTTTTAAGCGATTTTTGCGTTTTCGGCGAGCGATTTTGTTTAGGGTTACGTGTCTCAACCGAAGAAGCAGAGAGAGAGAGAGAGAGAGAGAGAGAGAGAGAGAGAGAGAGAGAGAGAGAGAGAGAGAGAGAGAGAGAGAGAGAGAGAGAGAGAGAGAGAGAGACGAAGAGGACGATTACGGACCGAGCAGAGGCCACCACGTCCGGATCACGCCCGGTAAATATTTTTCACACACCGATTTTCTTGATTGTTCCTCACTTTAAGAACCTGGATACCGCCGTTAAATACTCCCTCTTCCGCAGAGATTCCGGCAAGACACGGGGATGGCCACTCTCTCGCGAGGCGCGAGAGAGCCCCGGACACAAAAGACACGGGAGATGCCTCGAGCCTCAACCTATCCTGCTATAAAAAATTTGTAATCAATCAATCAATCGATTTGGCGTATTTTTGAAGGAACAGAGGCGCGCTCGTAGGCTTCTTCCCGACGAGAGGTATGAAAAGGAACAGCGGAACTCGAAGCGGGAGAACAGTGGAACGGCGAAAGAAATTATTTTCGAGCGCATTCGCGGGGCCCCGCGGGACACCCGGCGACCCTGCCAGGATAAGGAGCGCCACGGGTGAAAAATGCCCAATTTATTATCGGCGTGATTCCGGCGGGCCTCTCGCTCGTCACTGTCTGGCGGAACGTGGCAGAGTGCGGAGGTTTCCGAGCTCGGATGCCGAAGCAGCGACGCACACGCAAATACCGGTGAGACGAACGAACCCCTAACTGTAAAGTCGCTGATTTTCGAATAGATTGTTCGGGAGAAACGCATGTCGAGTCCGCGGCCGGTTGCAAATTATCCGCTTTAGTCTTTTCGCGAGGTTACGAAAATCTTTAGAGGTATTACGCGTAGAACTTTGTCCCGGCGCCCGACCGACCGCGTGTTCTCTCCCGCGCGCATATTAAGAGAGGCTCTCTCCCGCGGATACGCCGACAGTCGCCGCGATTTCATTATACCAATGTTAGAATTAAAGTCTCGTCCCGTAATTATTGTGTCGACTTTTGTCTGTTAGAGTTTAAAAATTTTAGAATATAATCTTGTCTATAGTCACGTATGAGAAATATAGCGTATTCTTTCTCGCGCATATTATTATTCGAGTCCCCTTTCGATCTTTGTGACATTGTGCGGAGGACGGCCAGCATGATCGATCTCAGGAGAACTCGCGCGGGACCTACTATAGTTTACGGGAGGTTTTGTATTGCCAAAATTACTAGAATCAATTACTTCGCACAGACCTTATTAAGTCTCGTGCATTAATAATTATTTGACACGTATGCGAGCAAGTTTACTTCCGGATCCCCCGTGTCACCTGATATCTCCACGTCGGGTCGTCTCAAAGGCGCGGGATCATAACGCGCCGCGTCTCGTCCGTACATAAGCCGTACAGTATCGTTCCGAATGAGAAATACGACTTCGCTTTCTTTGTATTTCGGCGTCACATAAACTCTTTGCCGCCACGAACGACAAGTGCGCGGATCTCTATTCGTAACTGATCTAAAGACTATTATCTTTTTTTTTGTACACCATATTACTCACACTTTTATATTTTGTTCTACTCTTCGTTCACCTTATTGTTAAAATATATTTCATTACTATCACATTGGAGTATTCTAAATAACCACTCTCTAACTCCGTTCTCTCTCCCGTCCGAACTCCCCCCTCTATCCCCTGACGCTCTGAGCGAGTCGCGAGACGCTCTGAGCGAGTCGTGAGACGCTCTGATTGCCGTCGCGGACTTCGGGATGTTTTGAGATTGGCGAAAGATCTTTTTCTAGCTCTGAATTTTTAGAGTGGCGCGAATCCCGCGCCTGGCGCCCAAGTAAACGAAAATTTATTGTGTCTCCGCGAATTTCCCGTTTTCCGCGCCGAAGGTGTGCCGTCGGCCAATTACATCGGCCCTATTTTTCGGATAACTAGTTATCCGATCAAATAAAAAGAATTACGGTTACAGTATGTATATACAGGATGTCCTGCAACTGATGTCCACAGTAAAACTTTGTATTCTTGAGATCATTCTAAAAATAAAGATGATTTTGAAATTTTCAATATTTTCTCCATCTATAAATTTTTTGCGATATTCTAATATAAATATATAAATATATATATATATATATACATATATACATATGTATATACATGTGTCTATTGGCTATTTTGACGACATCAAAAGTCAAACATTTTATTGTATACATAAGAGTACATCAACTCCCTGACGTATACATTAGTTATAATTTTGTAATCAAATAAACTGGTACATATGTATTGTATAAACATAAATTGGTAGAGTTAAATCGACGTAACTAGCCAGTTTATTTAATTAAATTCACAATGTTTCGACCATTTGGTTGTGGTCCTTATCAAGTGAAATACACTATAAACAAAAAGACAGTAGTTTTTTACATTTAGAACGCATTTATAATAAATAATAATAAAATATAAATTAGAATTACAAAGGACGTACTTAATTAATAAACGATGTACTGATCAAATTGTACTTAAAAAGAATTTAATAAATTATCATAGTAATAAATATAAATAAGGAAAAAGAAGAAACACGTCTAATCAGTATGATGCTCAGTCAACAACTAAATTGACAAAGTTAAAAAGACATCTATACGACCTTTATAATTTTATCATAAATATTTGTCAAATTTTCAGTGTCCCTTTGTAAGTTAATTGTGTTGTCATGCTTCTTAATTAAGAACATTTCAGCAATCTCTCTCTTTCTTATGTGTTTCTCGTTATGTAAAATGACTGGCGATGTCTAATTAAATTCGTGTCCAAATTCACATTTATGTTTACTAATGACTGAGTGATTAGTTGTATGCAATTTTATGTTATTGAAATATTCTTTAATCCGCGGACATAAATGCCTCTTTGTTTGGCCGATATAAGAAGCATCACAATCTGTACAATCAATCTTATACACTACATTAGTTCGAAACTCGTTGTTTAATTTGTCTTTTCCACGTTTTATCAAAGTATTTAATTTCTTAGGCATACTGTAGACCACATTCAGATTAAATTTTTTAAGTGAACGTTTAATATCATCACTAACATCTTCTACATATGGTAGCGGAATAACACATGCTTTTTTCGGATACAGAGCAGAACTATCGTTAGACAACGATTCCAGAAAATCACTATTGCCGTCATTTTTTAAAAAGTTTATTGTTCTATTTACATATTTATTGATAATGTGTTTAGGAAA